GATCTGGAGCATTGTACAGCCCTGGCCAGTGTGGCTCGGTTGGTTGGAGCATCGTCTTGTGCACCAAAAGGCTGTGGGTTCGACTCCCAGTCAGGGCACGTACCCAGGTTGCGGGTTCCATCCCCAGTCGGGGCACGTGTGGGAGGCAATCGATCTGTTTCACTCTCACATTAATGTTTCTCTCTCTCTCTCTCTCCCTCCCCCTCCTTCTCCCTTCTTTTCTCTCTAATATAAAATTTAGCCCGGCCGGGCGTGGCTCAGCGGTTGAGCGTCGACCTGGGATCCAGGCGATCGGGGTTCGATTCCTGGTCAGGGCACGTGCCCGGGTTGCGGGCTCGATCAATGACTCTCTCATCATTGATGTGTCTGTCTCTCTCTCTCCCTCTCCTTTCCTCTCTGAAATCAACAAAAATATATTAAAAAAATAAAAAATAAAAAATAATAATAAAATTTAAAAGAGAAAAAGAAAAATCGTACAGGGCAAAGAACGCACTTCCTCAAGAAATAAATGGCACACAAAAGGTTGGGGAATGGTTGAAGATTTAAAACCTGAGATGGTTTAAACGAAGTCACTGTGTGGTGAGGCTTTGGGTTCTTGTTTGAACAAACCCAGCTATAAATTACATTTATGAGCCTGTCAGGGAAACATGAACACTGACACTGCAGAAAAGCTAATTGTAATAGGTGTGAAAATAGGTATTGTGGTTGTAACTTTTTTCTTTCTTTTTTGTTTGTAGAAAAGCAAGTACGAATTTATCGGCTGCGGCAAAAACATAGTGAGGACTGTGAAACAAGGAAGGGCATGGAGGAAGCAAGAGGAGAGCCTGGCTGGGCTGCCTGGGTCACTGCGGAGTCAGAGGAGGGGGCCTTGGGGACAGGCTCGGGGTTAGCCCAGGGCAAGCTGCCGCTGCCCATTGCTCCCCTGGTTGCAAGCCTCGTGGGGTCCCTTAGAGGTTAGGGGATAGTGCCTGTGGGGGAAGGAGAGGGGAAAGGGAATGGCTCTCCCCTGGAGGGAGAGTGCCTGTGGTTGCAACTTTTAAAACACAAATTTTAAGGGGGGAGTTATTGTTTTAGAAAGAGTCTTTGTTGCAGATAATGAAATTTTGGATAGAGATACATTGTGACTGTATATAATGCCACTGAATTGTACACTTATGGTTAAAATGATAAACATTGTTATGCATATTTTACCACATACCCAAACTGAAGGCTAAACTAATTCTAAATATTTTTATTGCTTAAGCCATTTTAAGTTTATCTTTGCTTTTGCCTGTGATTGAAATCATCCTAATGCATGTCACCTTTCACACTGATGCAGTGCAAGGCCCATCCTTCCTTAAAGAAGTAAGTTAGCCCTGGCTGGTTGCTCAGTGGTTAGAGCGCCGGCCGGCAGACGGCAGGGCCCGGGTTTGGATTCCGGCCAAGGGCACGCACGTCCGTTGCAGGCTGGATCCCCTGTGCGGGAGGCAACCAACCGATGTGTCTCTCACATCAGCGTTTCTCTCTTCCACTCTCTCTCAAAGCAATGGAAAAAAATATCCTCGGGTGAGGGTTAAAGAAGAAAAAAAAAAACCTTAAACATCATTCATTCCTTTCCACATCACACGGTCGACATAAGACACGTCCAAACCTGTAGAGAATTTTTGTGAGTGTGTTTGAGCCAAACTGATGACTTTTGCCAGGAATAAAAATCTCAACGGGTTGAGAGAAGCTCCAGAGAATGGCAGTTTTGCAGCTTATTTTATCCCTTAGAATCAGAGCAGATGTAGGGTGGGTTGCATGAAGCCTATTGGTGGCAGATTTTGGGGGGCAGGAGAAAGCAAAGGG